TGTAACACCTGTTCGATATTTAGTTGGATAGTTTCTCCTCTTTTCTTTATCCTCGTCGCGACGTTTCTCCGATCAAACGCCTGAATGATGTCATCCTGCACAACTTTACGATTGCCCCAATAAAAGATAACAAGCCTGCGAGATAGTTATGCGTGAATGGAATGATATACATATGCCTGTACTTGTATTACGAGGGACGAAGTGAGAAAGAGTGAGAGAACAAGGAAGAATAAGAGAGAATGTAAAGAGCGTGGAAGAGAATACGAGAGAATCTAATTCCGATGACAAAAGAATTGACCAAAACGTCGGCATTAAGGTATAAAGCGACATACTTGCATGTCGTGCACTGTCGAGAAAAAGGGATACGTCAATCGAGCTAACGGGAATCACGAAGTAAAAATTTCGCAAAGAAAAAAAAAAAAAGAAATGAAACGGAGAAAAACGAAAAGAAAAGAATATATCACGATGAAAACACGACTGTAACCATACAACAATTATCAATTAGACTCATAACGAGAGTATACATTGCGTGTATCATCGACTACGTAACTCGAACATTGAAATTATGTCTACGCACGCGAGTACGCGTGAATTTTTGTCCATTTCTACACGTATATCCGTTTCCTCCTCGACGATAGAAGTTATTTTTAAATTTTCGAAACTTAGCTGCGCCGCTCCCACGTGCGAGTGTCTGTACGATCGGATGTCAGTAGGAATTCAGAAATATAAATAGACGATTGAAGTTGCCAAGATGTTTTATTTAAGAACACTCCTGTGCCCATTTATGGGAAAAAGTTCCCCCCCCCCTTTTTTTTTTTTCTTTCCTCTGTCACCTTCCTCGCACGTAATTATGTCAACGCGCGTCCCCACTAGGGGAAGTCGATGCACGCGGTATAAAGAAATTATTGTTTTAAATATCATACTTCACTTCCTCGACAACAAATACATCGTTACTAAAATCAATCTTTTCTTGTCTCTCCCCTTTATTATTACATATTCTTTGCGCACGTGTATTCCTAAAAAAAAAAAAAAAAA